CCGCTGCGTCTGCCAGCCCGGGTGGACGGGCGAGAAGTGCGAGAGCCGTAAGTGGGGCGCGGGGGGCCTAACCGTGGGTGCCGCACAAGGGGCTTCTGGGGACCCCGGGATTTTTAAGCGAAGACATAACATTTGGATTTCAGCACTGCTGAGAGAGCTCACGGGTGCCGCGATTCTGGCTGCGTGCCCTGGTTTTGCCCACCTCTGTGCCTTCTGCTGGCCTCTGAGGGCCGTCCCAAAAGCGATGGCGCACACAGAGGCCGCACCGCAGCCTGCGACGGTGCCAGCGGGAGAGGGATGGGGTCCCCCAAGGCACAGCCCCCAGGCAGCAGCGCAAGGGCGCAGGCTCCAAGCAGGGATGCAAGGCAGGACAGCAATCCCCCCCTCACCTGCCTGGTGAAACCAAAAAGCCAAGTGAAGTTCTTCCTCTGTCCCGTTTATTTTAAGAGTAGCAAAAGATCATCTCCTATTCATTCTTTCTTCTACGCTTCCCTGTATTATATTGACCCTAAATGCCTGGTTTCGGTCTGAAGCCCCGGCAAATAATCATGTCTGCCATTCCAGAACGCTCCTGCGTTCACCTTATCTTTAAATGTAACACATACCCTGGCAAGCCCTTTGCTATGAGGAGTGTTGAAAAGGCTATTGCCTTACTAAGAGCAGCAGCAGGGACTTCGTCGACTACCAGCACAGCAAGCTGCTTCCCTTTCAGGGGTCATGGCACCTCAGCCTGGCATATTCCTAATATTACGGTGTAAAAGGCCGATGCTGTTACTTGTCAGCTGAAGTCATAGAATCATAGAATCATAAAATTGCTTTGGTTGGAAAAGCCCTTTAAGATCATCCAGTCCAACCATTAACCTACACTACCAAGTCCACACTAAACCAATCAAGGGTAGACTAGACTGAACCATGTCCCAGAGTGCCAAATCTACCCGTTTTTTGAATGCTTCCAGGGATGGTGACTCCACCACCTCTCTGGGCAGCCTGTTCCAATGCTTGACCACCCTTTCCGTAAAGAAATTTTTCCTAATTTCCAACCTAAACCTCCCCTGGCGCAGCTTGAGCCCATTTCCTCTCGTCCTATCGCTAGCTACTTGGGAGAAGAGCCCAACACCCATCTCACTGCACCCTCCTGTCAGGCAGTTGTAGAGAGCGATGAGGTCTCCCCTCACCTCCTCTTCTCCAGACTGAACACCCCCAGTTCCCTAAGTCTGGCATAAGGGGGCTGCCCACCGCAGCTGTGTCTGCCGTCAGCCCTGTCACAGCGCGCTCAGGTTTCTTGGGAGCGAGGGTGAGCAGCGGGATTCTGCCGCATCCTCCGGCACATCGTCCCCTCCCAGCATCGTGTCACACGCTTCCAAAACCCCACTCCTAGACCCCCCCAAGCAGCAAGGGCCCCGTCGCGAGGCAGCGTTAAGGTGCTGGGGTGGAGGTGATTACAAAGGACGGGCGTTCGGAGGCTTTGGCTTCCAGGTGCCCCTGTGGTTCTGGCCGTCGCCCCGGCGACTTTTCCTGCCTCACCCTGCTCGCAGTTGCTTGCACTGAGCTCACCCACAGGTTCACTTTTATAATGCCTTTCAGTATAAATTAATTAAAAAACACCTATCCGCAAATGCAGAAATTATACAATTTTTTTTTTTTTTTTTTTTAAAAAAGGCTAGAATCCTCTCCTTGGCTTCCCACAGCGCTGTATTTCAAACTGCATCTATGTGCAAATACCTGCCCAGCTGTGCACAGTGCAGCCACGCTCCTGCGTGTCCAAACTTGGCCCTTGCATGGCCAAGCAACCTGTTTGGACAGTTGTACGGGGACTTACTGATTTTCTTGCGTTCATTCGTGAGGCAGAAGTGAAAATTAGGCTCACGGATTTTTGCCTCTGCAGTGCTAACCTCTGCATAATGCTGGTACTGCACGCGTTTTGTTTTGCAGCTGCTTTAGAAACCAGGTGCATCTATGACAGCAGAAGCAGCAGCAAAACTAAACGATGGCTGCCGTGATTAAAATGTACTGTGCTGGTGCCCAGCTCTCATTAAACAGTGCCAGGAATAGCACTTCTGAGAACATGTGGCACAGGTAGAGACACTCGCACTGAATTAGGTGACCGCCAGTGGTACACTTCACGCTCGTGTACCCTGAGCAGATTTGCCTGGCGCTGCTGGTGAACCACGCATGCTGCTGAGGGGCAGTTGGCATGCGTTCAGCTCTGGGCTGTGCAGCCATTTCCCGTGCCATGTGTGCCGTGGGGCGTGGGAGGGACCGCGGTCCCCGCGCTGGCAGGCTGGTGCTGCCCATCGCTGCGGAACCGCAGGCAAGTGGGGCCGTTCGCTCCAGCCGCACCACTTGCCAGAGTGATAATACCTTTGCGGGCTGGCAGATGTCACCGGTCTTGTCAGAGCACTGCTCTGGCTTGGCAGGCATGAAAGGGACATAAATAAAGTGAAGTGTGTGCCTACAGAAACTGCGGTGAAAAAAGACCCAGGTCACCTTGTTTGTGTAACTTGTCGTCTCTCCCATGTTTGCATCTCAAGCTTGTCCAGAGGGGCTGTTTGGGGCACGCTGTGAAGAGCACTGCGACTGTGGGGACAACGTGTCGTGCCATCACGTTACTGGCGCTTGCGATTGCCCCCGTGGCTGGAGGGGCCGGCGCTGTGAGAAAGGTGAGCCAGCACCCCTTCGGCGGCCCGACGCCCCTGCACCGCGGCTCAGGGGAATCTGAGGCTCCTTCCAAAGCCTGGGAAGGAGAGAAACTTTGGTTTTAGTAAGACTTAGAAACTGTGGCAAAACCTTTTGAGGAGCTGACAGCCTGCCCCGAAAGAGGCATTTGGGTTGCTGCAAAAAAACGCTGTCTAGCTGGCCGCTGCGGCAGGGCCCTGGCTCAGCACCACATGCTGCAGCCGGGTGCTGAGGGCTTTCGGGCACTAACAACAACTTGAAATCCCATCAGGAGACTCCCATCTCCTTGCTTGTTTTCCCGCAGCCTGCCTGCCGGGTTCGTTCGGGAAGAACTGTGCCAGCCGCTGCGCCTGTCCCCTGGGAGTGCCGTGCGATCACATCACCGGC